TTTTTTTTTTTTTTTTTGCAGAACCGGGGATTGATCTCAGGCCTTGTGTTTGCCAGGCAAGCGCTTATTCTACTGAGCTATCTCCCGGCCCCACAAATAGTTGCTGAATGAATAAATATATAACTTAGACTTTCCAAGGCTACTCAAATACAAAGACGGGAGGGGAACTGTTCAGAGAGAGCTTGTGGAATCCAGTAATAATTTTATTTCTTGGCCTGGAAGATAGCACCTTGGGGTTTATTTTATACTCTTTTATAAACATATATGTCTTCTTTCCCTTTACACTAACAAAATTAAAAATCACTCAACAGAATACTGCCACTTGTAACACAATAAGCCATAAGAACACTTACCTCACTTTGTGGCTCCTGGATAACTTTATAGAGAGATGAAACTAAAGAGTTCTTGTCTTTCAAATTTGTAGCATAATTTGGCAAAGATGTTTCTGGCAGGGTCTAAACAAATTTTTAAAATAAATGTTATTTTTATGAAATTCCAAAATAGGCAAATCCAAAGAAACGAAATATAGTTTAGTCAGTGTCAGAGATTGGAAGTAGGACTGGACAATAAGAGTAACAAACAGGCATGGAATTTCTTTGGTGGGGGGGGGGTGAAAATGTACTGGAATGAGATGTTGGTATTAACTGTAAAGTTGAATATACGACAAACCAATGTACCTTTCACATTAAACAGTGACCTTTCTTTTTTTCATAAGGGGATTGAACTTAGGGACTTTGCACTAAGCTATGTCTAGCCCTTTATTCATTTTGAGTCAGAGGGTACTCAAACTTGCAACCGTCCTGTCCTAGCTTCCCAAGTGCTGGAATCAGAGTCATATGTCAACACATCTGGCATAAAACAGTAACTTTTCTGCGATATAAAATGTATCAATAAAATATTCAAGGTAAAATGAAATATATTCTATCCTCTTATCATAATAGGAACATAAATTAACATCAAAACTTCATCTTTAATTACAGTTTAGGGTTAGAAATGAGAATGTGTATTGCTAGAGATATACATTTTAGTATTATTTATTATAGATCTCATTAGCCACACGGAGCATGCTTTGTGTTCTAAAGAATCTGGTAATATTTCCAATCAAAAGGCACAAGAAATGATCTGACTGAAGTAACTTTTGAGCCTCATGATTGACTGTTAAGCTTAGTGAGGCCACTCTACTTTACAAATTGGGTGGAAAACAGACTTCTCAGAACTGGAGAAAAAGATGTCCACATTGCAAAAAACTAGTTTTTCTATATCATTTAAAATATGGATAATGAATCACAGCTTGCTAGTAACCCATCCCCCAATTTAGACAAGACACCATGACCAGAGAGGAATGGAGAGAGATGAAAATGCCAGTGGTGAGTCATATGGCTTTGAGTAAAAAAGCCACAGGGAAAGCACTAACAATAATAAAGATCTATTCTAAAGCATATAACACGTGGCAATATTTGCCTCCTGTGTCATTATTCTTTCTCATCCAAATTCCTCCAGTCAGTCAGAGCTAATCATATTGTAGATACCATGTATCAAGATATTTCTAAAGCTAATAGTCATTTCAAGCTATATACTATTCTTACATACCCATTCCACCACTTAATAGTTCATGATTTAACATGCATGTTGTTACATATAGATGCACGTGTGCATAAACAGGCATGGCAAATCAAACCGTATAAACTTTATATAAAAATTAAATGATATTTTATTGATTTTTTTTTTTTTTACTTTCTGCTGAGTTGCTTAAAAACAACTGTCTCACTTCTTAAACCACATCATTCAGTACAAAGGCTCATACTCAAATCTTTGCTGAAGGAATATATGACAGAAGAATGGAATAAAACATGAAAACTCTCAGTGTTTACACTTCAAAAGATTCTTTAAGAATAGGCATAGCCAGGCATAGTGCTGCATACCTGTAATTCAAGCACTCTGGGAAGCTGAAATTGGAGGATTACAAATTCAAGCCCTGACACCAAAATACAAAATAAAAAGGGTTGGGGAATGATGCTTAGTGCAAGGCCCTAGATGAGAACGAGAGGGGGAGAGAGGGAATAAGGGAGAGGGAGAGAGGAAGAGAAGGAGAGAAGGAGAGAGACAGAGAGACAGAAGAGACAGTAACAGTCAATCATATTTCACCTTAAAATATATAAGAGAACTTAATGAGAGTTTTGTTTACCAGAACTGTAAGCATATGTGAACTATTAGAAAATTTCCACTGTTCAGGGTGAGGAAGTAGCTTACACAAAAAGGGATTAGGACATTCTTTAGTATTTCAATAGCAGTAACAAAAGATCTCTTGGCAACATCCCTTTTCTGTTATTTGATCAAAAGTAAGCTAATACAGGAGAAAATTATATAAAGGAGAATAAAACTCAAATAAACAGAAGATTTCTAATCCCCTAAATAGAAACAAGCCTAAATTTGTGTATAAAATATATTTTAGATATTTTATATATAAATACATTATGTAAATATCTAATATAAATATATACATATGTCTAGTATATTTATATGTCTATAAAATTTAAGAAAAAATGCATTGAACTACAAGTCTTTTAAAAACTATTAGTGAGTAATAATATGTTCTCCTGGTTAACACTGGAACATTCACTAGAGCAACAAATTATACTTTTCAGTGTATGCATCAAACTTACTACACTCATAATTCTGTCATTTTAAAATTTTATAGATGTACAGAAAGTTACTTTTGAGAAGTATAAAACTGCTGTATTCACAAATGGTGATTAAAAAACTTAAAATCTAAAAGAGCTGGATAAACTTAAGAACCATTATAGAAAATATTTAAATATTCTTATTGTATACTAGTTCAGAAGAATTGGCCTTCTTAAGCATCAGCCTAAGTTTGTCATGTTTCAGTAGGAAAAAATAAAGACGAAAAGCAATAATGGGAATTTATGTTGAGATCATTCTTGGCAAAATTTAAAGACAGATGTTTCATTCTAAAGCATCATTTGGCAGATTTTTTTAATGTAAGGAGGTTATATGGGTTGGGTGGAAGAGAATTAATACAGAAGGACAGATGGGTGAAAACCAATAAATAAAAATAATTCTGCTCAACAACATTATACATAAGACTGATTTTGAGTCACATATTGAGATTTAGTGACTACTGGAAAATCAAAAAATTGCAAGTTTGAAAATCTATTAGATAAGTCCACACATGGCATAAAGAAAAAAAAATTCAAGGAAAGTATATTACAAATAAATCTTTGAAAAGGGAGATGGATTACTCATGAAATCTTTTTTTTTTTTGGCTCCGAATGCCTTCAGGACAGGTCTGGCTGGCTTGAGTTGTGGGGATCGAACCACAGCAACCTGAGCCTGACTGCTTTGCTGAAGCAGCCACTTGGAGAACTGAGCTAAGGGGCAGACTCCCTCTTTTTTTTTTTTTTTTTTTTTAAAATGTATTTGGTACAGGGTCTCACTATGTATCTGGGACTCATAGTGATCCCCTTGTTTCAGCCTTCCCAGTGCTGGGAATATAGTGTGCACCACCATGCCCTTCTCAGTGGCCAGTTGACTTAACCGTGCCCCCCCCCACCGAGGGGCAGGGCCAGAACAGCATGTGGTATGGGGGATTGAATCCCGGTCCCTGTGCTTGCCTAAGCAGGCACTTAGTCTGCTGAGCTATCTTGATGGCCCTCCTCATGAAATCTTAAAGTGAAATAATAATCACTTTATTGGTATATAAAGAAAATACTAATAAGGGACCATAGCTAGAGTGTGAACAGCTTTTGCAAAAATATTTAAATTTTTAAATGAAAGATTTGAACAAACAAGCTGTGAATATTTAAGAGACAGTTTAAGAGACTGTTGAGTAAGGTTATACAGTTAAGAATTCAAATGTTAAGAAAGAAAGGAATTCAAATTATGGCCACAGAAAAATCACAAAAATATAGAAACTAAAAATCATCTTCAGAGACCATCTACTTCAATTTTTCTGCAGATAGTAACTCTTAGAGAAATTGTATGACTTACTCAATATCCCAAAAGCCCCTAGTAGAAAAATTATGATTAGGTTAAAGGCTTCTGACTCTTTGCCCACTTAATAAACCATGATGATCTTGGCCTTATAAGCATCATAGTTACTTGTAGCCTTGAAGCATAAGAATAATTTTGTCATTAAGACACATTAAGGGTCTAAGAAACCCAACATATATATATATGTATGTAAGCAGTATGGTTTGGACAACTGTACTGGGAATTTCTTCTGGTCTATGGAGAGGAGCAGTTAATCCTTCATTTGTTTTGCCTTCTTTTTTCAATTCTTTTTTCTTCTTCTCTTCTTATTTTCTTATATATTTTTTCTTTTTTTCTTTCTTCCTCCAATTTTGCATGCTTATATCTGATAATATGAACAACTAATTTGAATAAAACACTATGCAATATAACAAATACTGTGAAATTCATATTATTTTGTTTAGTGAAATTCTGTACCATTTTTAATTTTTCTGTTTAAATACTACTTTAGAGACCCAGTCCTAGCCCAGGTCCGGTGAGTGTGTGGTGAGCTTCCTGCTACCCTGCACCGGGGGGACTAGTCCCAGCCCAGGCGCAGCGTGGGCCGGACCCTCTCCTACCCCCTTGGGCTGCCCCCCTCTAATCCACAGTACCTCCCCCACCCCGCCCGCCGAGTAGGAATTTCTGCCGCGTTCCGGGAACCCCCAGACCCAGTCCTAGCCCAGGTCC